CAAAGTTTCAGCTTTCTAGCTTTTCTGGTTCTCGAGTTAGCTATTTTCCCGCCAAAACTTTGAGGCACTCGTATGCGGGGCCTAGACGTGCCTGAGGGTTAGTATCGTGGTCCTGGGGTGGCACTTGGCCGGGGAACCCATTCGCAAAATTTCGGTACCGGAGCTTGCTTGAGTGCCGAGTTGAAATACCCGGACAGACGCACATACACACACACACACACCGGGGTCGTTGCAATATGCGTTTTCACATTTGCATATTATGCAAAAACGCATAAAAAAGCAGCGTAATATTGGGTCAAATTCTATGATCAACAGTATCCCCTTCCGCTGATAAAAACTGTTGAAAGGATTCCATTTTATCGGCAAAGAATATCAGTAATGAGCAGCTGATATGCTTTTAATGGTAGACGAGAGGGCAAAAGACCAACGAAGACGAAAGAAGTAAGGCAGTTATAATTGAACTGTTGTTGCGAAATCAGCCCGGATGAAGGGAATCTCATTCTGCAATACATTTATAAATCAGGGCTATAGGCACTTTTGGAACAGATGAAAGGATTAGACGTGGTACAGTTTCAGCAATGGACCAGACAGGGAATTAATATTCATTCAGCAAACTACTCACCTCATTAGTTTTCTTATGTTATAAGCTTTTTTTGGTTTAGTAGGCTTTACTTCCGCTGTAGTTACACGGTTACACAGCTGTGAGGATTTGAGGTATATTTAAAGTCGTTATCGGATTTTACGAGCCGCTTTCAGTATTTTTTTCACCAGATTAAGCTAGATCTGATCCGTTGCTTAATCTCAACTTGTCTGCGAGGTTTTTTGTCATGTCACCCTCGCAACATTACAGGTTTTACCGTTTGGTCAGCATTTGCGAGTTTAGCTCCTTGCATCTACCTGTAGCGTGATTGTTCTGAAATGGATTTCAAAGACGCGGATTATATCTGACCTGTCTGCGTAATCCTAGTTTCTTGGCACCAAGGATTAGTGTGTAAGCTCAAACTTCGTATGCTTCATAATTATTTTTAATTTATGGGCATAAAATTTCAGGGACCTCAGAGAAACCGCGGCTAAAAGTAGTGAAGCGCTTCATTCCGGTGCTGCAGCGAACAAGTCGAGATAAGAAAGAAGATTCAGGTGAGAATGGTGCCACAGCTGCTGTTGTGATAATTTGCAAAGAAAGTTTATTGCAGAGCTGGAAGAAGACAAAGCATACGCTGCGAAACTGATCCGCGCAAACCGACACTTCGATGAGCTACTGCACGATTTGGACGATAAAACTATCAAATTCAAGAGACATAGTGCCACCGCTGCTGTTAGTCTCTCCCAAGTATTCTTACTGCATCGCTTAATTCATTACGCTGCGCTCATCAACAATGCTCGCGTGTATATCGAAAAACTTCATCCCTTTAAATCATTAAATGCAACGACACCATTTTTGCCGGATCGTTTTTGCTCAGCTCACTTTTTTCAGTCTGCCTCACGACTCAAGTATTTATGCGAGTCAATTTATTTAAGACCAATTTTCTTTCTTATAAGTACCACTTACTAGTTTACTTTGTCCACCGGTCATCAGCAAAGTGACCAAAATATTTCGTTCAGCGATTTTTCTCGTCTTTAATATCCTGCACACTAACCTCCATTACACTCGGATACCAAAATTACTTTAGTCACCAACTTTACAGCAGTACAATTTTGTTTTACACACGGTATATTTATATGTAAGGAGGCACATAGAGGCTTTAGAAGGGTCATGTTTTTTGTTGTAAGTTGCTCGCGCGTGAGGCTCCTGAATGATCGCGCACATTCCGGCGTTTGTCAAGATGTAGAAGTACATGCTGTGAACAGAGTAAGGTGGCGAACATTTCAGAAATTTTCAGAATAAGGTTTTTTTCCATTGCTGCTTGTGTGAGAGAAGGCAGCGATAGATTTTTTGTCAAAGAAAAAATAGTACGAGGCTTTGTCACTCCCTTTCAACTCAGCATTCGGGAAGGCTGGGAGGCGAAAATTCTGCGAGAGTGTCCCCAGCACACATATCATCTTACTACGTGAAATCATTGTTCATTTTACCGCACACTCAAAAGCGAGTACATTTTGCGGGTTCGTAATCCTTCTCTTGTCGAATCTGCATTTTTTGATGAACGATCACTCTACTGAAAAGAGGACTGGGCTTTATGCAAACGCTGGAACGCACCAGGTTAGCTGGTGCTACCATGCGTTTTTGCACAGTTTCCTGCGGATGTTTAGTGCTGTAGTGACACAATTTGCGCTCGCGTTGGCTTCACTAAATGCCTTGTACGCTGACGCTCGTATCCACACGGAAGCAGTGAAGTGTTTCTTTGGTAAGATATAGATGTACACAGATGCTTTATGATCCAGCAATCATTCATAATTTGGGAATATTCACTTAAAAGTGTAACTTACCATTCCGTCCAGGTAGAGCGATACGAGGATGCCAGCGGTTTTGGAGCCTGAGTTTTGCTGTATTGGTATGCGGGACATAGATGTTATCGTGCACTTGGTAGCGGATG